TTGGGATTTGGGATTTCGGCAAAAAATACTAATCATAATTTGGGATTTGGGATTTGGGATTTCGGCATTTGGGATTTTGGCATTTGGATTTTGAATTTGGGTGGCAGGTATAACCTAACCCAGACTTTTGTTATTCAGAACCAACTGAATAAAACCCCAACCTATAATATATTAATTTCATCATTCCGTTGTATGATAATATTTTCTTTGTGCGCAGTAATTCGTGAAATAATATATTGCTAGCTTATGTTTAGATTCTTTAACTTTGGTGGTAATAATAACAATAACTCAGAAGACAACCAACCTACCTCAGACGAAGATACAACCTCTGAAAACTCTGAGTCTGATCAACTTTTTGCTGAAGCTAAATTACGCTTATATAGAAGCTGGTACGAATGTTACTTACAAGTAGCTTCATCTGAAGGAGATCCTAATCCCCAAGATTTTGAGTCTTATTGCCATTTCTTTAACTTAACCTGACTTTTAGAAGAAGAATTAAACCAAGTTCGTGCTCAGGTCGATTAAGAACTTGTCCAGAGACGATTACAAGAAGTTCAATCGAGATTAGCTATATTATTATAATTACCCCCATTAGAAATCTCAATCCCATTCAAATTTACATTTACTCAAGAAACCCCTTTAGGCTTTTAATTATAACGAAAAAGAAAAGCATAACCCTGCACATATTTTTCCTGAAGAAAATTATAGTGAGAAAACTTCCGAAACCCAACCCCAATTACCACATCACCGTGAGCCACAGTAACTGCAGCAACCGTACAAAGAACCTTCAACCCTAACTTATTTTTCTACTACTCAAACCTCCGTCCGAAACCTTCCACAAGTAACCTACCAACAAGGAGAAACTTTTGCTGAAAGCAGTAGAACTTCATCACAACCCACTTGTAAGAGTTTTGGTTGACTCTTAGTAGTGGGGTAAAGTATAAAGTAAGGTGAGTGAGTATTCGAACAATAATAAACACACGTCAACGACGTAAGGTAAAACACTTGAAAAATACAAGCAAAGAATAACACTCTAAAAGAGCAAATTAATAGTATATTAAATTA